TGATAATATTATTATTATTATTAGTATTAGTATTAGTATTAGTATTAGTATTATTATTATTGTTAGTATTAGTATTATCATTATTATTATTGGTAGTATTATTATTAGTAGTATTATTACTAGTATTATTAGCATTATTATTATTATTAGTAGTAGTATTATTATCGTTATTAGCATTAGCATTAGCAATCTTCTTCTTCTTAATATTATTATTCGTCTTCCTCTTAGCATTATTCTTATCATTATTCCTCCTCCTCCTCCTCCTCCTCCTCCTCCTCCTCCTCCTCCTCCTCCTCCTCCTCCTCCTCCTCCTCCTCCCCTGGACAGGCCCGAGAGACCGCCAGGACGGCCTAGACGACCCAAGAGCGCCCCAAAAGGCTGCCCGCGATGACCCCAAAGGGCCCGAGAAAACCCCAGAAGCCACTCAGAGGCCGAGGGCCCGAGGGGGCCCCGAAAGAGCCCCAAGAGGGCCCAAGATCGTCCCGCCAGAAGCCTCTAATAGCCAATCTGAATAAGTCTGGAGAAGTTGCACCAGTCAGCGTGGAACAACTTCTGGACCATTGTGGTCAACCTCTTGTTCGACGTGTCCCGACAACGATTTGGGGAACCAGGGTTCAACCACTGCCGGGCGGGTTTTACATAGATTGTTGGCCACTAACTAGCGCCTTCCACAGGGGCAAGGGTCGGCGGCGGCTCGCTGGAGGTGTATTCGATCCCTCTCCGCCCGCTCGATCGGGCTTCGAAAACTTCTCCCAACGAGCGTCGGCAGGTCACCTCACGCCCCGAAGCACTCACGCGCGCGAGAACCCCCTGTCCCCCTCAGCTCTCGGGCGGGGCCGCCAGTTCGATGCCCGCCGGGAACTCCCAGCCATCCTCGACGAGGATCTGGAGGCGGCGTCCAGCTGCGTCTGCAGCGTGCTCCTGCGGAGGGCGGGGGGGGCCGCCCAAGGGCCACTGCGAGTGCGCACCCGCGCAAAATTACACCGGAGGCCCGAAGCGTCCACGCTGCATGAGAAGACACGCGGTGAGCCAGCATCGAAGGGGTGCACGCGGCACCGCCCGCGAACACGGCCGAGCACGCGGCCACTACCGCACGGCTCCCCACGCGCACCGCACGTGCGCGGCAGGGCACGGCACGGCAACGCGGGCGGCACACTCCGCGCCCGAAGACTGGGCCGGGCGTGGGCACGTTCACGGGCACGCGCACGCGCGAACGGCGGCGTGGCACGCGCACAGCACGGCACGGAGGAGGCACACGCGCCGCACCTCGAGGCAGGCGCGAGAGCACGCCACGACGGCGCGAGGGCACGGCAGGGCCGCGGCGCGGCGCGCGGGCGGCACACCCCCCACGGCCCCAGGCCTCGGCAGCGGACTCGCCCCCGCTGCCTGGGGAAGAGCGCCGCGCGCCCGCGGCAGGCGGCGACCGGCAGGCCCGCGGCGGGCGGGCGGCAGGCGGGCGGGCGGGCGGGCGGGCCGGCGGGCGGGCGGCCGGCGGGCGGGCGGGCGGGCGGCAGCGGGCGGGCGGGCGGGCGGGCGCGCAGAGGGCGAAGAGGGGCAGGCAGCTCGCCATCGCTCGGACGCCCCCTCCCCGTGCAGGCTGTCGGCCTCGTGCGCGTCCCGTTTCGCAAGGTGGCCCAAAGTGCTCCCTCGAGGGCCCTCGCCGAAAGCATAAGACGAGAAACGGGCACTAAAAACGAGAAGGCCTCCGAGCGATGCCGAGGCAGCGGCGGCGGCGGCGGCGGCCTGGGGCGGCCGTGTCGCCCCGCCCGCGCCGTGCGCCGCCAGGCCGATCAGCAGGAGCCCTCGGGGCGCCGGCCCGCGGCCGCGGAGGGCGCGCCGCGCGCCGGCCGCCATGGCGCGCCGCGCGCCGCGCGCCCGCGGGCGGCAGCATTTGGCGGCGGCCGGGGGGCGCAGCCCATGGCCTGAGGCCTGGCGGCGAGGCGCGGGCGCGGCGCGCGGGCCGCTCGCTCTCGCCCGGGGCCGAGCGCGCCCGCCCGGCGAGGCGGAGATGTATCCAGGTCCACCGTCCTGGGACCGACGTCCTGGTGCCCCAGCGGGCGACGGGCATTGATATACATATATACATATATATATATATATATATGTACATTCATCCATCCATCCATCCATCCATCCATCCATCCATACATACATACATACATACATGCATGCATGCATGCATGCATGCATGCATGCATACATACATACATACATATAGACACACCTACACACCTACATACGTACATACATACATACATACATACATACATACATACATACATACATACATACATACATACATGCGTGCATGCATGCATGCATGCATGCATGCATGCATGCATGCATAGAGACATGCATGCATACATACATACATACATACGTACATACGTACATACATACAGACATACATACATACAGACATGCGTACATACATACATACATACATACATACATACATACATACATACATACATACATACATACATGCATGCATGCATGCATGCATGCATGCATGCATAGAGACATGCATGCATACATACATACATACGTACATACATACAGACAGACATACATACATACATACATGCGTACATACAGACAGACAGACATACATACATATATCATACATGCATGCATGCATACATAGATACATACATACATACAAGACTGCACTGGCGCTTCGCGCCATGCACCTTGGTCCTTGAAGTTTGGTATGCAGGCGGAATAGCAGGAAGGGCAAGCCGACAATTTAGCGATAACTCCTGGTTGCCTTTTCTGGCATCGCCGCTGTAATAATATTATTCGTTATCCTTCCTCCATGCTTCTTTTTCCTTATTTTCGCCATACGCTGCGCATTCTCCCCATCCTTCTCAGCTCTTTTTTGCGGAGGCTCCTCCTTGGAGAGCCTCTAGGGGCCTCACAAAATTTGTTTCAGGATTGCTTAAGGCCTTCTGGAGACCTCCTGGGCGTATTCTGGGGGCCTCCGGGGGCTTCCTCGGGCCACCCTGCCTCCAACCGCGGTCTCCCTGAACGACCGAATCACGATTTGGAATTCTTCGGAGGGTGTCTTTGGGCCATCTTGGGCCGCCATGGGGCGCTCTGAGGGCCATCTTGGACCCGTGTTGTGCCGTTTGGGGGCTCTCTTGGACTGCCTGGAAGCCCTTTCGGATGGTTGTGGGGCGATTTTGGAGCCTCCCAGGCGGCTTCGGACGCCCAGAAGACCGCCGTCTTGGAGCGTCGGGAAGCCGAAAAGAGGAGAAACCTAAAATTCACAAAAAAATCCACTGAAAATCAATGATTTTTGCCTCGGGGGGCCCTCTTGGGAGTGCTCTTGAAGGCGTCTTTGGGGCCGTCCTGGAGGCCTCTTGGGCCATCTTGAGGTCACGTCGGTCACTCTTGGAGCGCTCTTGTGCTGTCTTGGCGGTCTCTGGGACGTCTCCGATGACCCCCCTGATCGCCCTAGGTGTGCTGGGAAGGCTTGGCAAAACGCCATGTGAGGCCCGGTGGCCGCTTCGAGGCCCGTCTGGAGGGTCCCAAAGCCCCAGATCCCGGGAGTCCGGTTTTGGGGGGGTGGGATGGGTTCTCCCCCCGCCCGGGCTTGCAAACATATAGGACGAGACATATACATGCTTATATACATATATTCGTGTGTATATATATATATATATATATATCGTGATATACATATATATATACATATACATATACATACATGCATGCATGCATGCATGCATGCATGCATGCATACACACATACATACATACATACATACATACATACATACATACATACATACATGCATACATACATACATACATACATACATACATACACACATACATACGTACACACATACATACATTCATTCATTCATTCATTCATTCATACATACATACATACATACATACATACATACATACACACATACATACACACATACATAAATACATACATACATACATACATACATGCATGCATGCATGCATGCATGTATGCATGCATACATACATACATACATACACACACAGACATACAGACATACAGACATACAGACATACAGATATACAGACATACAGACATACAGACATACAGACATACAGACATACAGACATACAGACATACAGACATACAGACATACAGACATACAGACATACAGACATACAGACATACAGACATACATACATACATACATACATACGGATGTATGTCCGCATCCATCGCCCGCCGAGGTCCCCAGAAAAGGATCCTCTGGGCCGCGGTCGTGTGCAGAGTCCCGCCTCGGACGCCCCTCCTGCAGCGCGCCGCGCTGCCCTCCCGGGCGCCCGCGCGGCAGCCGAGGCGCGCGACGCGGGCCGTTCCCGCGTCGCCTGCGCGCGTGCCTCGGGGAAGCAGCGGCTGCGCCCCTGCAGGTGCAGGCAGCGACGAGCGGACGGCCTGAGGGACGAGAGGCGGGCGTGGCCGGCAAGCGCGCCCACCGCCATCGCGGGCAGGACCGTCGCGACAGCACGCAGCACGACCGACATGTGCTTCTCCGAGGCGAAAGGACGGATGTGACTCTCCGAAGCGAAAGGACGCGAATGCAAGCGGGCCCGAAGCTCAGTGCGCCACGGCACCACAGCGCGCCGCAGTGTGCCACGAGCCAGCTCGCTGGACCTCCGGAAGCTCTTATGTTTATGTCCTTGCTCGTTCCCCGAATGACTTCTGCAGCACGCTTTCCTCTCTGGGAGGCCGCACGGAGCCTTCAGAGGCTCATGGAGCCTCCAGATACAGCTTTGACTCCGAATCCGCCGTACTTTGGTTGAAGCTCCTGCGTAAATTTGTATCGACAATGCACCCCAAACGACGCGAAAAAGTAGGGCGGGGACTTCCGCCTCAGAACAGCGGGCCGAATCTGTCCGAAAAGGTATGGCAGCAACAGCGACGGCAAAGTAGGAGGAGATCGAAATCAAAGGAGCTTGAAAAGCAGAGAGGTAAATTCCGCCCTGTTTGCGAAATCACCCCAAGTACGGCGGATCCCCAGACAGGGTGCAACAGAACCCGTGACTAGAGGCCTCCCGCAAGGAGTCCGAGTAGATGAGGTCGGAGGATGGCGCCGCATTGCCGATGCATCACACATGCATTAGCGATGCATCGGCGACGTCGGCGTGGAGGAAGTTGGGATCCACATCGAGCCGCATCGTCGATGCATCGGGGATGCGGCGCGATTCTCCGACCCCACCCCAGCGACTCGGATCCCACCTTAGGAGGCGTATAGTGACACCTTCGGTGACCTCTGGTCTGAAGCTTGGCGGCGCGCACGAGGGGGGTTAGCGGGAGAGGGGCAGGCTTCTTCGGAGGAGGCTGCTTCTTAGAAGGCGAGGGCCTCTCTCTCTCTATCTCTCTCTCAAATATATACATACGTATATCAACATATATACAGATGCATACATGCATGCATCCATACATACAGACAGACAGACATACATACATGCAGACAGACAGACAGACATGCAGACATACGTACATACATACAGATGTGCATGTACACATATGTATATAGACAAGGGCCGCGCCTTCTGAAAGCAGTCTCCCTCTGAGGAGCCTTCCCCCCTCCCCCTACCCCCTCTGCGCGCGGCTGGGACGCATCCCGTCCCGCGCGCGCGCTCGCGCGCCCATGGACAGAGAGCGCGAGACCGCCCGGCAGCCGCCTGGCTCGGACGCGTGGCGTGCGCTGCCGGCCGCGGCGGGCGCTCCATCAGCACGGCGGCCGCTGCAAAGAAGGGTCCACGGAGGAGGAGGAGGAGGAGGAGGAGGAGGAGGAGACGGAGACGGAGAGGAAGAGGAGGAGGAGGAGGAGGAGGAGAGGGGAGGAGGAGGAGGAGGAGTTGCGGTGGGTCCACAGGCAGGCCGGTGACATGCTGGCACGCACGGGCAACGTCGCCTGATCCACCTCCTGGGGCACGGACGTCATGGAGGCCCCAGCGGGCGGTGGTCCTCCTCCTCCTACTCCTCCTCCTCCTCCTCCTCCTCTTCTTCCTCCTCCCCGTCTCCTCCTCCTCCTCCTTCTTCTCCTCCTCCTCCTCCTCCTCCTTCTCTCCTTCTCCTCCTCCTCCTCCGTCCTTATCCTCCTCCTCCTCTCCTCCTCCTCCTCCTCTCCCTCCTCCTCCTCCGTCTCCTCCTCATCCACCTCCTCATCCTCATCATCATTCTCATCCTCCTCCTCCTCCTTCTCCGTCTTCTCCTCCTCATCCTCCTTCTTATCCTTCTCCTCCTACTCTCTCCTCCTCCTCCTCCTCCTCCTCCTCCTCCTCCTCCTCCTCCTCCTCCTCCTCCCCCTGCTCCTCCACCGCCGGCCGAGGTCCGCGAGAACCGATCCCCCAGACGGTGGTGATGGATATGTCTCCGCCATGAAAAGCAGGTCGTTCAGGAACGAAGGTCTTTGAGGAAAAGCTGTCCTGTTGGGCAAGGTTGGTGCCAAGTTGCTCAGATTGCAAAGCACTATAGATGCCCAAACTGCAAAAAACAAAAAGAACGAGTTGTTCAGGTCATATACGACAGGCACAGACTCCACGAAGGCATGGACTCCATACGGGCATCTTGCAAATTGTACTGTCATGGGGATCGCGCCAGCGAGGGTCGCGCCTCAAGCTGCGACAGCTGGCACGGAATCCTGCAATGCGCGCGGACAGTTGCAGCGGCATGCCTCCCCCCCGTCCTCCAAACCCCTCTCCTTCCCCTCCTCCTCCTCCTCCTCCTCCTCCTCCTCCTCCTCCTCCCTCCTCCTCCTCCCCATTCCCACCCTACTCATTCCTCTTCTCTCTATCAACTTAACTTCTTCTCCTCCTCCTCCTCCTCCTCCTCCTTCTTCTTCTCCTCCTCCTCCTCCTTCTCCTCCTCCTCTTCCTCCTCCTCCCCATCCTCCAACTCCTCAACCTCATCCGTCCCTCCTCAGCTCCCTCCCCATCCCCGTCCTCATCCTCCTCCTCCTCGCTCTCCACCTCCACCTACTCTTTCAACTCCTCATCATCCTCCTCATAATCATATCATCATCAATCATCATCATCATCATCATCATCATCATCATCATCATCATCATCATCATCATCATCATCATCATCATCATCATCATCATCATTATCATCATCATCATCGTCATCATCATCAGCATCACCATCATCAACAACAACAACATCTGCATCAGCATCATCATCATCAACATCATCATCATCATCAGCAGCAGCAACAGCATCAGCATCATCAGCATCATCATGATCCTCATCACCATCATCAGCATCGCCATCATCATCATCATCATCATCATCATCAACAACATCTGCATCAGCATCATCATCATCAACATCATCATCAGCAGCAGCAGCAACAGCATCAGCATCATCAGCATCATCATGATCATCATCACCATCATCAGCATCGCCATCATCATCACCATCATCATCACCCTCATCATCACCACCACTACCATCATCATCAGCAGCAGCAGCATCGTCATCATCAGTATCAGCATCATCAGCATCATTATCATCATCACCACCATCAGCATCATCATCAGCATCAGCATCATCACCATCATCATAATCAGCAGTCTACATCAGCATCAGCAGCACCACCATCAGCAGCAGCAGCACCAGCATCATCAGCAACATCAGCATCAACATCTGCATCAGCATCAGCACCATCATCAACAGCAGAATCATCATCATCAGCAGCATCATCAGCATCATCATCAGCATCATAAGCATCATCATCACCAGCAACAGCATCAGCATCATCATCACAATCATCCTCAGCAGCAGCATCGTCATGATAATCAGCATCATCATCAGCAGCAGCAGCATCAGCATCATCAGCAGCAGCATCACCAGAATCTTCATCACCAGTAGCAGCAGCATCATTATCATCGTCATCATCATCATCATCATCATCGTCATCATCATCATCATCACCATCGTCAGCATCATCATCATACTGATGAGCATCATCATCAGCAGCATCATCAGCAGCATCATCAGTATCATCCTAGTCATCATCAGCATCATCACCACCTCCACCAGCATCATCAGCATCAGCATCATCAACATCATCACCACCACCACCACCATCATGATTGGTATCTCTGGCATGACTTCCTGAGGAAACTATATTCTCCTTCACGCGCGCGTGGCGGAACCTGGGGGCCCTGGAGGGGAAAGTCACCGGGAGCTCCCGGGTAGAGACCCACAGCTGGATGCCAACACATCCCCAGGCTGGGACCGAGAAGCCGCAAGGATGCGGCGACCACGATCACCAACGAGGCCTCCAGGATGCATTCTGCACGGCCACCTGAGCTTTCCAGACCGCCAGATAAAGACCAAAACATGCTTCCGACTGCCACAGGACGGCTTCAGGTGGCCATGGAGCCTCCCAAGACAGCCCCCAGGAGGCCAAAATGTGACAAACCCGTTGGTGTGTTCATGATGCTTGCTTTCTCGCCGATTCGCTTCCGATAGCCTCTCGAGGCCTCACGATAACCCCGAGATCGCCCAAGATTGCCCCGAGTGAAACCCCGAAGACTCCCAGAGGGCTCCGATGGCCTCCAGGAGCGGCTCGCCCCCACAGTGCTCCGAGAGGGCTCCCATCCGGGCCCCAGCAGGTCCCAGGAGCGGCTGCAGGCCCCCCGAGATGAGCCGACAAAGGCACTCTGACAGCCCCACGGTGGCCCAAGATGGTTCTCAAGGTGCGGTGAGGGCATGTGGACAAAGAGCTCTTGAATGAGGCATCCGGGGTCCGGAAGCAGGCGAAACTCCGATCGTGGATCGGCCATGGATAGCACTGCCGCCCTCATCAGATAAGGAATCCCCCAGGGTCTGAAGCCTCCTGGGCCCATTCCTTAACGAATGCCCCCACCGTAGCCGCCATGAGGACAAAGTCTGTCAACATCCAATGCATGTTCACTGATTCGGGCTACCCGTTACGAATCCGATGCCTGACTGAGGCCTCAAGAGAGGTCGCCAAAAATGACTCAAAATGGCGCCCAGGATAGCTCCAAGAGGGCAAAACCCAGAGACCACCAGCGGATCACTCATCCGTTCCCCCTGTATGCTCCCACGAGCGACCTGTCATATAATCTTTGCCGTCTCGTGCGTTTGGGGTTTCAACGGTGCGTTCGGGCGAAGCCATGAACACGACCCCAAATTTACGAGCCGCGTGGGCTGATTATATGTCGCTTCCTCATGCGCTGGGATTTACGCTCTTATCGGTCACTCTGGCGATGCTGCATGCTGGTTGGAAGATACAGTCACGCTGCATTCCACTGGTATCGACGCAAATGATGGGCACCTGAGATCGAACGCACGTCCAGGGCCACAGTAAAGAAGCGCCATCTGCACGGTGTCGTCGATGCAGTCATCGCTGGTGTCGCCCTTACCACTGTCGCCTGACTCGCAAAGGTCGGAGCGACGGTCAGGTTTCAGGATGTGCCGGTGCGTGGTCTCAACGCAAACAATGACAGCGTGTAGAGATTCGAAACACGGTTGAAATTCACGATCGTCAGCCCGACAGCAATCTTGGAGTCGTAGGCAATCTACCCACAAATACAGTTCCGCCTAAGTCTCAAGTTAGCTAGCGGCTGTGAAGCGGGGGCGTCGTCGCGGTTGCCGCCTCCTGCACTTCCGTTGCCGCGCGGACAAAGGACGTCGCAGGTGGCCTGTAGACTGACGCGTTCCAGGCTTCATAGCTGTTTCCTCGCTGGCGCTTGGGATCGGCCTCCGCGCCGCCCCCTGCCCCGAAACCCGCGGATGCTACCCCCCTGCCCTCGTCGCGGTTTTCTGCGCCCGCAGAGCACATGGCATGATGGGCGGCTTCGCTGAGTGACTCGATCATGCTGTCTACCTTGAAGGGGAACTGGGACACACAAATAAATACACACAAATAAAAAGATTCCCCATATTTTCCCATATTTTCTGGGTTCCTGTCTTCCCCCCCACTTCCCATATTTTCCCATATTTTCTGGGAAATCGACGATTAATTGTGTCTGTGTTGTTTTTTTTCCTCCTGATGTCTACCTGCCCTGCCTGGCGCCCAAAAGAACATGCCTGGCCCCCTTGCAGGGGGGCGCGCGCCTCGCCGGAGCTCGCCCCCTTGCGGGCCGCCACCCTGGCGCGCGTGGTTCGGCACACGGCTGTGGCCGCCTGGTGGGCGACGCACAGGGCTTGTCCGCCTTGCTCGGCACTGCGACCCGTGAATTGCGTGGGCGAGTTTTCGCCCGTACTCGGGTTGGGACGCACAGAGACATACTAATACTATATGTCCTCCTTGGAGGCGCGCGTCCGACCCAAGCATATAGTATACCCATCTTGTAGTATATCGTTTCCCGAGCGGTGTGGCCAGAAAGCGCACGCCGCGACGCATATACTATAAGATTTCTCGGTGCGCGCGTCGCCCCTGGGGGGGCGACGCACATACAGTATAAGTATGTTGGGGTGATGCCGATCGGGTGTGCACCCGTAGCCGCGCCGTCGTCGGAGTACGCGTCGCCCGCTTCGCTCTTAGGTCGGCCGGCTCGCGGCCTTGCATCTTGTTGCGCTTGCGCTCTGCCCGGAGGGCTCGGCGGTCCAGGCATGCCGCTCACGACGCGGCGCCCGCCTGGCCTCTCTCGTCGTTGTCACCCGTCGTCGAAGCTGGCTGGCGCTGCTGAGGCTACGTCGCTCCATTCGCCCCGAAATCGGCGGCGCGGGCGCGGTGAGTCGCTTGTCGATGGCAATTTCGTAGCAAATCATGGGAGCCTTCTGTACACTCGCAATTCTGTCTTTAGCGTCGACTAGCGTCCATTAACGTCTGGGAGTCGATGAGATAGCGCCGATGTGGTGTCAGATAGCGTCGATTGGCGTCGATTGAGCGTCGATCAACGTCGATTCGCAAGAGCCGACAAAATGGTATAGGAGGCTCCCATGAGTTGCCACCGATGTGTGATCACACTGGCAACGTGGTCTCACGGTCGGGCGCCAGCGCAAGCGTCGGCGCAGCCGTCGGGCCATCTGGTTGGAATGCAGCTGCAACATGATCATGCATCCGTCGAGAGGAGCGCATTGGAGAGCGAGCTAATTCTTGGTGGCACCTGAAGCACAGAAAAACAACACCGATAGAAGGAAGTTCACGATGTTGAACCCAGCGCGTTGCGGCTTCTCACGAAGCATACCGCACTGGGGAGACTAATGAGACAATCTTTGTGCCAGTCCTTGACTTGAAGTCGATAAGTTCTGTGCATTATCGTGTGACTCGCTCGTCTGCGGATGCCTTGAAGCGGTTGCGTTGGTTACGGCGTCGGCGGTGGTACCATTGACTTGTGCGCCGCACTGTATAATGATCGTCGGGAGAGTTACCGCAATTCCATGAGCAAGACCACCCGATCCGCGAAGTTGGAAAGCGGCCACCTGTTGAGGTGCTTGCATCTGGCACGCGGCGAGCTTGATCCACTTCTGAACTTGGAGCAACGAATGCCGGAACGGCACGCTCGCTGCACCAAGTTCTAGCGCGGCGGTCGTCGCGCATCATCACACCCTCTGGCGTGGGTCATCATCTATACGAGTGGTCCACTGGCGTGCCCGAGGTCGTGCACGCCAGGGGGCGTGCACCCTTCCGCGTCAGGGGTGTCTAATGGTGCACGCCAGAGGGTCTCTGATGGTGTGCGCCAGAGGGCGTGCACCGTCACGCCCTCTGGCGTGTACCATTCCGCCTTTGTGTCATGGTGGAACAAAAGGCTAAGTGGTCCACCTGTATCGACCCTGCCGATGTTGGAGTAGAGGTGGATTCCGGGAAGTAGGTCCAACGCTGCTTTTCCTTCTGTGCACGTAGTCAACAGTGGATGCAAGCGCACGGGTAAGAACGCGGGAGTCGGAGAGGTTGCGCTTGTAGCGGTTGGACTGGTCGTCGCTGTCGCCGACGTCCGTGATGCTGCGCAGGACCAGGATAAATACCGCACGTGGCGCATATGGGCGTGATCAGATACCTGCGCAAGGGCTTGCTTTGCCGAGCTCGTCGGAGTGCACATGGGGGAAGTTTTTGGCCATGACCCAAGCAATCAGGGCCACAAGTATTGCACATATAGATGGCGCCACGAGGCTCAATCCCAGAAGATGCGGGGACAGTTCAGCTACCAACTCGGAGATCGTATGATCATTACGCTGAGTAACTCGCTGAAATTCCCTCGGCCCGTCAGCGGGGCACGGGGCCCTGGGCATACTGGGGAGGGGGGCGCGAAGTCCCAAGCAAGAGGACAATCCACACTCCGAACACAGTGTAGGATGGTGTCTCCTGTTGTAGGCAAAGTAGTATCGCACACGAGCCGCTGCGAGAAGTCTGCGATGTATCGGACTGGACGCGCGTGGCTGGACACATAGGTACCAGCAGTGAAATAGCATGACACGGATGCTACAACATTATACCACGTGCATCTCATCTATACTTCTAGTCCAGAAGCCCAAGGTGATCCCAACATGATTCCGATATGGGCCCACTGCGGGCCACCGAGAGACCAAGAGGAACCCGGAGGACCTCACAGCCGGCCTAATAACGAGACCCAAGACGGGCCCAAAAGCCCCCGATTGGCCTCCAAGACGGGCCCGAGATAAATCCAAAACGCCCCAAGTCTCAAAGACAGCCACGGGACCTCCCCGAGAGGAGAAGCCCAAGAACGCCCAAGAAGACAACACGACGGCCCCAAAGACTGGCGCCCCAAGGCCATCCCAAGAATAACCGCTGATTTGCCCTGTGGTGCCCGGGTGGGCCCCCTGCGAGGGAACGGATAGAAAACCAGGGCGGCATGAGCCGTGCTCGGTCTGATGAGATTGCATAGTCTGGAGAAAAAGCGGCGAACGAACAACACGGAGGAGGACTGGCTATGGGTATGGGCGCGGGCTGTCCGACCCCAGAGGAGGTTCCCGTTCGAGCGGGACCCCATGGGACAACATGCAACCATAGCCCCCTGCGTCCCCCCTGTGAGAATGGGTGTGTGTCTTGTTTGTTCGTCCAGAAGATCGTGACTGCATGCATGATGTATGATGGGAAGGGCCTCGCGCCCTCCGCAGGGCCGCCGCACGCCCCTGCTCCCGGGACGCGTAAGCAAGTACGATGCGCCCACGCTCACATGACTGCTGGCTTCTCCTGGAAGGCCAGATTCGGCGCGTCGTGCCCCATAGACCTCCAGAGGCGCTGAGCTGACCCCTCAAACTGCACCTGGCAACGCCAATTCGGCACACCCCTCGCGCACGTCGTCGCATTGGACTTCCAGAAGCGGTCCATTGACCCTCAAGACCGCAGAATGGAATCTAAATTCGGGACATCCCCAGGCCATTAGCTGGCCCATTAAGCCGTCTCAAGGTAGCTTCACCTCGGCAAACCACTCACAAACTTCGTGCCAGACCCCGAATTGCAGCATCCACTACCTTTGCCCTTCTACTCCACCTACATAATCCTCATCTCCCATCTCCTCCTCATTTCACCCCTTCAACTATCATCCTCGTCTGGCCGCTGCCTCCTTGAAGTGGTGCATTCATCACAATCGTCATGACCACCCTCCTTCTCTCCTCCTCCTCCTCCTCATCATCATCATCATCATCAGCAGCAGCAGCAACATCATCATCATCATCATCCTCCTCTTCTTCATCATCATCATCATCATCATCATCATCATCATCATCATCATCATCATCATCATCATCATCAGCAGCAGCAGCAGCATCATCAACATCATCATCATCATCATCATCATCATCACCATCACCATCATCATCATCATCATCATCAGCAGCAGCAGCAACAGCATCAACCACCATCATCATCATCAGCATCATCACCATCAGCAGCAACATCATCCTAATCAGCATCATAATTATCGTCATCACCATCATCAACAACAGTATCATCATCATCAGTATCACCACCGCCCAACTGTCATCATCAGCATCACCCCCAGCATCACCACCACATGCACCATCCCATATCATCACCATCGTCACCGTTATCATAGCTACATCATATGCACCATCATCGCCATCATCATCGTCAGTATCATCGTCAACAGCAGCATCATCGTCATATTAATAGTATTACTATTTTTCCATATTCATTTTCATCAGGGGGCCGAACGGTCATTCATTGTCCCTGAGTGCGTGGCTGAATCAGGAATTCGTGGTGAGAATGTTGCTTGTTGTTGTTGATGGTGCTGTTGCTGTTGTTGGTGGTGTTGGTGTTGTTGTTGTTGTTGTTGTTGTCTGTTGTCGTCGTCCCACCCGCGACCCACCCGCGACCCACCCCGCGACCCACCCCCCGACCCACCCCGCGACCCACCCCGCGACCCACCCCACGACCCACCCCACGACCCAACCCGCGACCCACCCGCGACCCACCCTGCGACCCACCCGCGACCCACCCGCGACCCACCCGCGACCCACCCCGCGACCTACCCGCGACCCACCCCGCGATCCATCCGCGACCCATCCGCGACCCACCGGCGACCCACCCCGCGACCCACCATCGACCCACCCCGCGACCCACCCTCAAGGGAGGAAAAAACACCCGGACCCGACAATCGACGTTCACTAAAAGGCCCTGTGCATTGACTAAACAGCCCTGCCCTGTTCGATTCATTCCTTGTGTGCATTTACTAAACGGAGTCGCTTGTCGGGGTGATTATTATGGGGTGGATTTTCTGCCACCTACACCCGCGACCCACCCGCGACCCACCCGCGACCCAACAGCGACACATCCGCGACCCACCCGCGACATACTTACATTGGCTTAACGAAAAAATCTGCGCCTGCGGCGGGCTCATTGTATAATGTGTGAAACTTTGGCGCCTGCGGAGGGCGTCTCCAGAATCTCGCAAACTGCCGACGCCCCCACCGCCCCCTCGCTCTTATCCGCATCTGCGGGGTGCTACGTCACATTCATCAGCAGCAGCATCAGCAGCATCAGCGTCATCATCAGCAGCAGCACCACCACCACCATCAGCTTCCCCCCCCATCTCAGCATCCTCTCACCTCATACCCCTCATCCTCCTCCCTCCTCTTCCCTCCTGCTCCCTCGTCCCTCCTCCTCCTTCCGCCTCCTCCGCCTCCCGCCTGCTCTTCGCGGCCTACTCCACCGCATCGAGGGCGGGTATACCTCCACGGCAGCGGGCCTACTCTCGCTTGCTGCGAGGGGGCGCCCACACATGCAGCGCTGGCGCTCTACTCTGGGAGGTACCTCTCGTGGCTGCTCATCAGGACCTCTTGGCGACGAGCAGACGGGGGCGGGGCGACAGGGAAGGGTGGGGGGGGGGGGGCAGCTCTGAGAAAGCCCATCCATCGCCGTCCGAGAGGCGGAAGCCTTTCCTCCCGGCCCTCCGTCTCGCCCCGGCCCCTGCTGCACGCCGCCAGACCTCCCAGGTCGACAGCTCGGCCGGCCACGCGGCGCAGTCCTGCAGCTCGGCCCTGCGGGACGAGAACCCGTCCCTCTCCTCCCGCTCCCGGCCGAGGACGAGACAGAGGCTGGTGTTCCCAACGGCGAACCGCCGGTCCCTGGTGTAGGCGAACTTCTGCAGAAGGTCGTGCCTGTGGCAGGCCACCAGCACGAGGGAGACCCCCACCTCGAGGGACCCCGCGGCCCGGAGGCAGCCGCCGCTGGTGTACGTCAGGTCCGCCTGCCACGCCCTCCCGTCCTGGTACCCGTCGTACATCGGGCTGCAGTCCTGGTTGAAGTTTTGCGACACGATCGACTGCGTGTCGGGGTCGTACCGGAACTGGGTGTCTCTGCCCTCCTCCTTGCAGGTGTGCCCCTGAATTTTATCGCACTGCGGGTGGGGCGGGGACCCAGCGATGTCGAGGCAGTAGCCCCACGGGTTGTCATGGTCTACGAGGTCCGCGAGGTAGACGTTAGGCCCTGGAGCGTACGGGTTGCCCTCCACTGATTTCTGCCCGCTACTCGCGCTGGTCTTGGCAGGGTCTGCTTCTCCTGCCTCCCGCTCGGCGTAAGGCCTGGATCTCGACAGCGCAGAGGCCGCCTGCAGGGCCTCGAAGCGGATGGACTCGTGCTCGCACTCCTGGTGGTCGCGGACCTCCGCCTCCGAGCGCGCGGCCCCGCTGAGCTGACCGCAGGCCGAAGGGCCGGTCGACCTGGCGAGCGGCACGAGCCACCCAGAAAGGAGAAGAGTCGAGGAGCGCGCCATGGCCCACGGAAGTCGGGGCAGCCAGTGGCAGACTGTGATCCGAGACGCACGCGGGTTCTGGCGCAGAGGGGGTCGGGAGGCAGTAGAAGCCAGGCTACTCAAAGCATATGCTCGTGGCGACTGTGGAAGGGATGGTAGTCGGCACGGAACGCACGTCTGCTTTTCATACGGGCGGGCCCTGCTCCTTCAGCCTCGGGCTGCCTGCCAGACTCCGTTCAGACAGCCCCACCCCCCAGCCCCGACTAATCGACATATTTTCTTTTGACTGAATTCTTCTCTCCTCCTCCTCTCCCTTCGTTCCCTCACTTCCTCCTCCTCCCTCTCCTACACCTCCTCCTTCTCCTCCACCTCCCCCGATGAGGCAGAGAAGCGAAGCGTCTTCAAAGAGACAGATCTGTATATATATATATATAGAGAGAGAGAGGGGGGAGAGAGAGAGAGAGAGAGAGATAAAAAGAGAGAGAGAGAGAAAGAGACTCGAGGGATCGACGATCCCTGGGAAATCGCATGGTTGGCGAAGAAAGAGGGCGCCAAACACTATGATGCCACTGGGATGCTTGTGGTGTGTATGAGAATCCTGAAGAACATGTAGTTGCATGTGCTCTTTGAGAGTTGGTAAGCTTACATCCTCCGGCGAAAACCCACGCTGTAGCCCTCCAGAGCTATGACCCCCAGAGGTCCCAATATTCAAGGATAACAAAAGCCAAAAACGAATCACAAGGTTCCGGAGGCTCTCCTACCAGAAATCCCAAACTACACTGGGATCACATGGTTTGGAGCCCCCATACTTCGCAACCCATGTGATGTCACAGGGATCGCTGCCCCCTGTAGTCTTTCTTTCTCTCTCTCTCTCTATTCCCCTTCTGCCTCATTGGAAGAGGAAGAGGAAGAGGAGGAGGAGGAGAAGAAGAAGGAGGAGGAGGAGGAGAAGGTGGAGGTGGAGGAAGACCTCCTCGCCCCATTCCGATGAGCCAGGCAGAGAGGCAGAGAGGCAGAGAGAAAGAGAGAGAGAGAGAGACAGAGAGAGAGAGAGAGAGAGACACTGGAGGGAGCGAATCTGACTCAAGCCTCGTGCTGCAGGGTGCCCTTCGTCGGCCGCTCGCCCGACGCCGCTGATGCCCGTGGCACCGTAGCGCCGCGCACTGGCGAATGCGCTGGCGGCCGCCCACGGGGCGTGCCTGGCCACACACGCGGCGGCGGGCCTCCCGCACTCCAGCTCCGCGGCCGCGTGCCGCCTGCTGCGGAGCGCGGAGGGCATGCGTCGTGCCGCCTCTCCAGACGGGCTGCCCCGGTGGCCGAGGGCCCCCGCAGCGCCGGCTGCTGCTCCGGCAGCGGCGGTGCCGCCCGGCGGCGCCCCGTGCCGCCCCGCGCCGCCGCCGTCGCGCGCGGAGGGCTGGCGCTCGCATGCTGGTGCTGATGGCGGCCCAGGCATCGAGGGGCCTTCCGAGGAGGAGGGGGCCGCGGCGGTGGCCGAGGAGGCGGTGGAGCTGGCGAAGGCGGCCGCGGGCGCGGCGGCTGGGGCTGGGGGGGCCGCCGCGGAGGGCAGCAGTGGCGCGGGTGCCGGCGGAGCGCCCAGGGGCCTCGTGCTCGTGCGCGCGCCGCAGGCCGTGGTGCCGACCGGGGACGAGAACGAGAAGATGGACGTGCTGCCACCCGAGGGCCCTGCGCTAGCCCGCTGCGCGGCCCTCCTGCCGGCCGTGGCGGCCTCGCCCGTGTTCGTCGCCATGCCTGCGGAGGCCTGGGCGCACCGCGACGCGGCCGAGCTCGGGAAGCTGGCTCTCTGGCTCCAGGACGAGCTCGCGGCAGGCGCAGGGTTGCAGTCCTCTCCCCGAGGCTGCCCTGGGGGTGTCGGCCTCAGGGTACGGCCCCGGCGCAGGTTCCACGCCGAGGTGTAAGCCGCCCCTCCAGGGGGAGTGACTCTGCGCAGGAGTGTCGGCCTCAGGCTACGGCTCCATGTGGTGTCGGCCTCAGGCTACGACCACGGGCCCTGTCCTCCGCGGGGGGGGTAGGGCAGGCGGTGTCGGCCTCAGGGTACGGCCCCACAGGGGCGTCTACGGCGCGGCGCTGAGCAGCACCGCGGGGAGGGTGCGCGAGGCGCCCGCCCGCGACCCCGCGGCATGGATCGGCGCGCTCCGAGGCCCTCGCGGCCCTGCGGTGCGCAGAGAGATACTAAGAGGGAGCAGCGATCCCTGTGAAATCTCATAATTTCAACTGGACTCTTTGGGATTTCTGGTACGAGAATCCCAGAAACCTCATGATGGTTTCCGGGCGCGTACGATATGTTAAGAGACTCTGAGGCTCAGAGCTCTGAAGGGCTGCAGTATGGATTCTCGTCGGAGGATGTGGCATCCCCAAGAAATCACCAACAATGCGAAATAAATCACATGGCTTCTGGGCCTCTCACACAAGGAATCCCAAACATCCAAGAGAAATCAAACGGTGTGGCGCACCCTTACTTCGCAAACCATGTGAATTCACAAGGATTGCTGCTTCTAGGGTCTCTCTCTCTCTCTTGCTCTTTCTCTATGTCCCTCTGCCTCGTCGGAAAAGAAAGAGCGGAGGATGAGGTGGAGGTCGAGGAGGTGGAGGAGGACCTCCTTGCCCCTTTCCGATGGAGGACCTCCTTGTCGCTTTCCGATGATGCAGAGAGGCAGAAAGGCAGAGAGAGAAAGAGAGACAGAGAAAGGCAGAACGCGAGTGAAATACTAGAGGGAGCAGCGAGCCCTGTGGCATCACATGGTTTGCGAAGTAAGAAGGCGCCAAACCCTGTAATTGCACTGGGGTGTTTGAGATTGCTGGTGTGAGAAGCCCAGAAACTGTGTGGTGGCATGATGGCTTGGGATATTTGCAGGTTTTTGGGGCTCAGAGCTCTGGAGGGCTGCATCGTGGATTCTCGTCGGAGAATGGAAAAGCACAACATAACAAATCACGATGGTTCTGGCATTCCCGTACAAGAAACCACACACACACACACACACACACACACACACACACACACACACACACACACACACACACACACACACACACACACACACACACACACACACACACACACACACACACGCACACGCACGCACGCACGCACGCACGCACGCACGCACGCACGCACGCACGCACGCACGCACGCACGCACACACACACACACACACATACATACACACACACACACACACACACACACACACACACACGCACACACACACACACACACACCAATTAAATCACAGGGTTTGGGCCCCCCGTACTTCGCAAACCATGTGAGTTCACATGGATCGCTGGTTCTAGTATCTCTCTCGCTTCCTCTCTCTCTCTCTCCCTCCCTGCCTCGCCAGAAGAGGAAGAGGAAGAGGAGGAGAGGGAGGATGAGGAGACGAGCGCAAATAATGGAGGAGTGGGAGGAGCAACAGCAGCAGGATGATCCGCAGTAGCAGGAAAAGGAGGAAAGGAAGTACCAGACAGATGAGGATCAGAAGCAGGAGGACGCAGAACAAGAGGAATATGAGGAGTAAGAGGAGGAGAAGGAGAACAGAACGAACGGAGAGGAAGGGGAGAGAAGCACACCGTGAAAAGAAAGAAAGACGATCAGTGGGTGCTGCGGGGGGGAGCTGCGATGTATGAAAATATGTGGCAAATTCAAGTTAGCCAGCGTGGACCCGAAACAACGAGCTTCTAGCAGCCTATGATGTGCAACTGATGTTGTGGGGCAGTATGTGTGGTGCAATCTACGTGGCGCAATCTACTTGGAGTTGTCAGCTTAACTTACAAAACAAATGTGGCGGCGATTGCGGTGACTGCCCCAACGCGTCTCGCAGGCCGCGCGGGCGCGAAGGCACTTCACTGCGAGTCGGTAGCTCGACGGGCGCGTTATCATGGCGACGTCGACAGGGCACGATGGTGATAGTAGCGATGTGGATGGCGATGATGACGATGACGACGGCAAGGCCAATGAAGGCGCCGATGGTCGTCACGCCGATGACGATGATGATGTCCACGCGACGGTCATGAAGGTGTTGAGACGGCTCCGGCATGCGCGCGCGGGCAACGCGAGCGAGCGGCCCGCATGGTATCATTTGACAGGGATCGCCAGGGGGCCATTCGGGGCCCTCTGAGACGGCGCTGGAGGACGAGGATGAGGATGGGGATGAGGAGGAGGCGGAGGAGGAGCGGGAGGAGGAGGAGGAGGAGGAGGGGGAGGAGGAGGAGGAGGGAGGGGGAGGAGGAGGGGGGGAGGAGAGGAGGAGGAGGAGAGGAGGAGGAGGAGGGAGGAGGAGGAGGAGGAGGAGGAGGAGGGAGGAGGAGGAGAGGAGGAGGGCCCCCCCCCCGACAACCGCGCAAGGGTGTCCCAATAATATCGGCATGCAAGGAGAGCGGAAGGAGAAGGAGGAGGAGGCGGAGGAGGAGGAGGTGGAGGAGGAGGAGGTGGCGTCGCGGGGCTCGGAGTCTCATCAAGCATTCGCAAGAGCGCGCGCGCAGATTTGCTTGACAAACTACGCCGCAGAGCCCATGGATGTCATATGACTTCGGGACCCTCGATCTTGAAATCCGCACGAAGCATGAAGATCTCTACAGATTTCGGCATGCGCGCGCAACGCCGCGCGAGTGTGGACGTTGTCCGATATGTTGCAAAGGGTTCTTGGATATGGGTGATTGTTGATAAACAGATGCACGCAGAAAATACATATGACAATGATCAGGGTGGGAGGAGCGATAACGGGTCCAGCTGGGAGGGTGTCACTTCCTATGCAAAACGAAGGGGCCAAATCACATGTAGCCTGCACTATCCAAGGGGGCGAAGATCAAGCGAGGGGGAGCGGTAGATCCTAATTTCGTTTGAGGGAGGAGGATATATATATATATATATATATGGATATAGTGCAGCCGATGCTGTGCCATAGGTGTTGTAGCATATATGCGACGCAATACAATGTTGTAAAAGGTGGTGTGAGCACATGCTGTACAATCTGCATGGTGAAAATGCTGTAAACAAATACGTGGTGCGATCTGCGTAGTGCAATATAGCGAGTCGGTGACTCGGGCGGGGGCGGTATCATGGCCACATCGACAACGGCAGCCACGATGATGATGATGAGGAGGAGGAGGCGGAGGGTGATGGTGATGGTGATGATGATAATGATGACGAGAGTCGCGGTGCTGGTCAATGACGACGGCAAGGGCAACGACGGCGCCGATGCTGATCACGCCGATGGCGATGATGGTGTCCCCGCGCCAGTGGAGAACATTGTGATCGGAATTTCGACATGCGAAAGCGGCAGACGCGCGCGAGTGGCCAGAATGGTATTATACTACAGGGACCGACCCACCCCCCAAAAGCACGCGCGCAAAGGGTGTTTGAACGATGCCGACATGCGGCGGGATCGACAATGGGATCGCTAGAATGGGATGAGTAGTGAGATAAATAGTGAGATCGTCAGCGAGGTTGATTGTGACATTGGTTGTGAGATCGATAGTGAAATCGATAGTGAGATCGGCGGAGGGATCGATAGTGCGATCGATAATAAGATCGATAGTGAGATCGGAAGAAAGATCTATAGTGAGATCTATAGTGAGATCGATAGTGAGATCTAAAGTGAGATTGATCGAGCGTGATCGATCCTTCGAGGTCGATAGTGGGATCGATCGAGTGAGATGAAGGCGGGGACGATAGCGACATTACATCGCAGCGCAACATCGTCATCGCGCGTCGTCGCTAACTCAAGGGCGCGTCACCAGCATCGTCATCTTCACACCCATCGCATTTGCCAGCAATTGGTTCTTTCCCCCCACCCTCCAACCTCCTCATCACACGAAGGGTGGTCGTATAGGTATGTACACACACGTCGGCACGTCGAAGGAAGGCGACGGCGCCCAGGTGGCACTGGATGGCCCCAGACCTCCCCCAAAGTGCTTCATGAAGTCTCCAAGGTGACCCAAGATGACCTCCAATCCAACCCAGATATCCTTCAAGGGTGCCCAAAGAGACCTCCAACATTGCCTTACTGGAGCAACAAGCGATGAAGAAAATCCATTGCGCGTAAAGCGAAGCAGATGCACGCCAAGACCATTGCAGTTTTGAGGCAGTTCTGTTCCAGGCGCAAAAGAGCGGACCCCATGACAAAGGAATCCCAAGACGGCCCCAGACTGGCCCAAGACGGCTGCGGTCAGAGCCCGAAGCGGAGAGCTCTGACTCGAATTCGCGCGGCTGCGCCTGGGGCGGACTGACGCCCCCGCAGGGGCACAGCGTTCGCCTACAGCAAAACCACCACGGGGACCGCAAAAGTGCGGCGCCTGTGTTTTGGAGTCCGGCTCAAGAGCCTCCGCCCGAGTGTCCCGTTGCACCGCAGAGGGTGGCAACACTGGGCAACTCGACTGCAGCATCGCCGAGTGCGCGACGCTCCGCACGGGCGGAGTGACCCGAGCAAGATCGTCCTCGCCCGAGACGACCTGGGCCCCGAGGGGCTGCACGGGAGCAAGAACCTGATATTGGAAGACGCGTCAGCGCCAGAGCACCTTGGGCAGATCGCCCCTCCCCACCTGCACTGAGCGTAGACAGCACCATCCTGAAACTTCGCTGCTCCCCACTGAAAGCGACTGTCTTCCGGCCCCTCCCGTCCCGACCCGCTGTCCGCAGTCATTTTCGAGGCCGTGCCTGGTACGCGCGGGGTGCTCTTAAAAAAAAGCGCCGCCCTGGCCGGTGCGTTCGTAGAGGCACGATGAACGGCATAAGCATAAACTGTTGGAGTCTCGGGCGGATTTCTTGGATCTGCGCTGGGCTCCCCTGGCGGCGCCTCCAGCGCCGCCCCTGGCGCGCTCCGCGCTCCAAGGAGGGGGGCTCAGCGCAGGGCCAAGAAATCCGCGCGGAGCGTCGAAAAGCTATGCTTGTGCAGCCGCTTCCTCTTCGAGCTCGGGGAGCGCTCCGGGCGCGGAGAAAAAAGAGAGCAAGGATTCGGTCGGGCACGTCTCCTCCTGCAGGCGGATCTTGGAAGAGAAAGCGGAACTTGGTCACAAAAATACTCAGAGCTACTCGAAGATAGTCAAAACAAATCGTCCCAAGACTGTGTTTTACGCTCTCAAATCGTTCGCCTGCAGAGAGGCACGCCCGACTCGAAGCAGGGAGCTGCGAGGCCCAGCCGGGCGGCGCGCACCAGCGAGCGTGCAGGGCCAGGGGAGGGGCGCAGGCCTCCTCCCGGGGAGGGCGGCGGGCGCCTCCTCGGAGAGCAGGGGGGTGGGGGCCTCCTCCTCCTCCTCCTCCTCCTCCTCCTCCTCCTCCTCCTCCTCCTCCTCCTCCTCCTCCTCCTCCTCCTCTCCTCCCTCCTTGTCCTCCTCCTCCTCCTCCTCCTCCTCCTCCTCCTCCTCCTCTCTCCCTCCTCCCTCCTCCTCCTCCTCCTCCTCCTCCTCCTCTTCCTCCTCCTCCTCCTCCTCCTCCTCCTCCTCCTCCTCCTCCTCCTCCTCCTCCTCCTCCTCCTCCTCCCTCCTCCTCCTCCTCCTCCTCCTCCTCCTCTCCTCCTCCTCCTCCTCCTCCTGCCTCCTCCTCCTCCTCCTCCTCCCTCCCTCCTCCTCCTCCTCTCCTCCCTCCTCCTCCTCCTCCTCCTCCTCCTCCTCCTCCACCTCCTCAGAAGCCGGGGGGGGCCCTCAGTCAGCGGGCGAAGGACGGTATCGAACATTTTTGTTCTGCCGTCGTGGACGCCTGCCCCCCGGGCGGCTGAAAGTTTATACACCTGCAGTGCCACGTAGAAGAAGTAAAGCTTTCAGCCGCCCGGGAGGCAGGCGCCCACGACGGTGGAACAGGTTGTTTTATACTGTTCTTCGCCCCCTGACTCAGAGGGGATCGGCTCCTCGGGGACCGAGCACCAGGGCTCGACCAAAGCAGTGCTTTTCATTCTCGGTGTGTTTTCGTTTTCGATCGTGTTGTCTTCGTTCCCCCGTCGCTGCGAAACGAAGTCAAAACGAAAAGGGCCCACGAAACCGCCAAAACACCATCAGGTCGAGCCCTGCCGACCACCCCACGCCTTCGAAGACGCCCCCGCTTCCCGCCCGCCTCGCCCTGCACCCCTCTCAGCGCCGCCGACTCACATGCGGCCCTCGCCCCCCACTGCATACCAGCCAGCTGCCATCCTGGCCGCGGTGCTCATCTCCACGCCGAACAGCTGGCATTGCGACTGCAAGCACTGCGCGCAGAACTCCACGGCGCACTTCGCGCCCACGTCCGCGTGCCGGAAAGCGGTGTGGGCGATGCGGCTCGCCTTGGTCAGGCGGTCGATCTCGTCGCGGTACGCGCGGAACGCCTCCATGTCCTGGCGACGCCGGGGGTCGGACCCTCTTCTCCTCCCCCCTCCTCCTTCTGCCTGCCCCTGCTTCATCCTTCTCCTCCTCCTCCTCCTCCTCCTCCTCCTCCTCCTCCTCCACGCTCCTCCTCCTCCCCCCTCCTCCTGCCTCCGAGGGGTTCTACCAACGAGGACCCGCCCTTGCACCCGATTGCGAATCTGAGCCAATCCTCTTCCTCCTCCTCCTCCTCCTCCTCCGCCTCCTCCTCCTCTTCTTTGTTCTTCCCCCTTCCTCGCAAGACGTCCCCCAGCACCGATGCTTCGACGCCAGAGGAGGGGCCCTGGCTCGAAACGATCGAGTGCCGGAGGAGGCCTGGGCCCCATCCTGGCGATAGGCCTCGCTGTACGGCGGCGCCGCGGGGGGCGGGGCCAGGTGGCAGGGCGCCTGCGGCGCGGCCGACTCCTCCCGCGGCCGGAATCTCAGCTGATACTCGCCGAACGGCATCTGCATCGTCACCTCGGCGGCCGGTCGCATGGGCGCGCGCTGGGAGGAGAAGCTCCCTGGAGTCGGCGAGTCGGCGGCGCCGGTCGCATGCGCGCGCGCTGGGAGAAGAAGCTCCTTGGAGTCGGCGGCGCGCGGAGGGGCGGCAGCTGACCAGCTCGTCGTCGTTGTCCACGTGGTCCGCGTGGCCCGTGACGTCCGTCGCCCGTCGTCGGTCGCCGTCGCCGTCGCCGCTGCCGTCATCGTCGTCGTCGTCGTCCGTCGTCCCCTGTGCTTGTCACCGTCGACGTCGATGCTAATCGTCGTCGTCGTCGTCCGATCTCCGTGCCGTCCTCCGTCCGCCATCCGTCGTGCGTCGTCCGCCGTTCGTCGCCCGTCGTCGTCGCCGTCTGTCCTCAGTCGTCCGTCGGCATCGTCGTCCGACACCCGTCGTTCAGCGTCGTCCATCCTACGTGGCCAGTCGTCGTCATCGTCCGTCGGTGTCGTCCGTCGTCCGTATCGCCGTATCGTCAATATCGTCTGCATCGTCCGTCCTCCGTGGTCCGTCGTCCGTCGCCGATCGCCCGATCGCCCGTCGTCCGTCGGCGGCCCGTGCCCGTCGTCGGGAGTCGGGAGCACTCGGCAGAGGAGCCGTCGCCAGAGTCGGCGTCGTCGTCGTCCGTCCCTTCGATCGTCTGTCAATCGTCATCTGACGTCCGTCGTCGTGGACTTCCGTCGTCCGCCGTGGTTGTCCGCGCCGTATGCCGTCCTCTGTCGTCGTCCATCGTCACCATCGACGCCGCTGTCGTCGTTCACGGGCGACGTCCGTCTGCCGTCATCGATAACGTCGTCATCGTCCAACGCCGTCGTTATCGTCGTCCGAAGTCCGTGTCGTCCGTCGTCCGTGTCGTCCGTCGTCCCTTGTCGTCCGTCATCCATCGTTCTTTATCTGTCGTGCATCGTCGTCGTCCGTCGTCGTCCGTCGTCGTCGCCATTGTCGTCCGTCGCCCGTCGTCCGTGGTCGTCGTCGGTCGGGTGTCGTTATTCGTCCGTCGTCCGAAGTCGTCATCGTCGTCCGTCATCCGTCGTCCGTCACCTGTTGTGGGTCGCCCGCATCGTCCGACATATGTACTCCGTCATCCGTCGCCCGCCATTCGGCGTCCGTCGCCGTCGTCAGAAACAGACCATAGGGACGGAGTCTATGGTCTGTCATTCGTCATCAAACGAATGTCGTCCGTCGGCCGTCGTCACCCCTCGTCCGTCCTTTTATGTATTTGGACTCGACTTGACCGCAAAGGCCGCCTCCCCGCAGATCTCTTCAGTCCCTGCCGATGGAGACTAACTCAATGCAGATACATGTAGGACGCATTACGTCTGAAAATTAGGATGCCGAGCTGAGAGAGATCCCCTGTCCCCTGCAGGGCGGCGAACACAGCAAGTGCCAGCCGAAGCCCGGATACTTCGGCGGAAAATCAAGATGTTGCATTGGGTTCCCACGTCACCCCGAAAGCCGCGACCTCCCAGTCGCGGCTCCCTTGGGAGACTCGGAGAGTGACCCCGCCCGCGCTCCGGCCGCGCCCGCGCCACCCCGCGTCCGAGTGGGCGGAGGCGTAAGAAACCCTGGCCTGCATCTCAAGCTGCAGTACACAAACGATCAGCCTTTTGATTCTGGTGGCGGGGCCGCCACAAAACAGGAGATTCGGTCGTCCGTCGCCCGTCGGCACTCGTCCGTCAACCGCTGTCCGAGTCGCACGTCGTCCGTCGTCGACTGTTCGCGACGTCGTCGTCGTCGTCCGTCGTCCGTCGTCCGCCATCATCGTCGTCGTCGTCGTGGCAGTCGTCCGTCGTCCGCCATCCGTCGTCCACCGTCGTCGTCGTCTCGTCCATCGCTCGAGCGTAATCACGACCACGCGATCACGCACGATCGCCGCGGTCACGAACGCGCCATCACGCAGTCACGATCGCGCGTTCAAACGCAATCATGATCGCGACCTCACGGACCCCCCGATCCGGCAGAGGAGTGTGCGCCGCACCGTAAGCCTTCGCCCTCCCCTCTTCATCCTCCACCTTCCACCCCCGCTCGTCTCCTCATCCTTCCTCCTGCCACTCCCACCCCCTCCTTCACAAATACGCAATATGAGTACTACCATCCTCTCTCCCTTGAGTCTGTGCGGAGGATGGCCGGCACCCCTCCGCGTACTGTTTGTTACACACAGGACTGCCGGAAGTTTGGTTTTCATAAGTGTTTTTGACAATCCGATTGTTTTCGGTCTTTCATATTGTTGCTCCCGATGCAGCGCTGGGCCCATTTCTGCGCCTCTGGTCGTTCCAAATCTTGCTACCGCTGCATCGCTTCAAGGAAGGTATTAGGCGGGAGCCCCGCTTCTGCTTTGAAAAGGCGATGTTGAAAGCAAAGCCAGCGGGTGCTCTCGCCCAGGGAGCTGAAGAGGGAGCCGCGACTTCAGACAGGCCCAGACCCCTCAAGCAACTCCAAGGAACCCGGTGCCATGCCATCACATGCAGCGCTGTGTTGTGTTCTGTGCCGCTGTTCGATGCCATGCTTTGCGTAGCAATG